CTCTCTCTCTCTCTCTCTCTCTCTCTCTCTCTCTCTCTCTCTCTCTCGGCGTGTGTGTGTGTGTGTGTGTGTGTGTGTGTGTGATGGTACATGTGTGGATATCAGAGGACAGAGAGGACAGGTTGGTGGAATTGATTCTCTTCTCCCACCACTTGGGTGCTGGCGGTCAGTCTTGATCGGCTAGTGCCTCCACTGAGCCATCGCGCCCTCCCTCATCATTTCTTTCTCTGGTTTCTTCTATAGATCTTAGTGAATTTCAATCATGGATTCTTGATTAATTTCTGTCCTGATCAGGATTATTATTGCTGTGATGAAACACCATAACCAAAAGCAAGTTGGGGAGGAAAGAGTTTGTTTGCCTAATACTTCCACATCACTACTCATCATTGAAGGAAGCCAGGGCAAGAACCTGGAAGCAGGAGCTGATGTAGAGACTGTAGAAGGGTGCAGCTTATTGGCTTTCTCCTCATGATTTGTTCAGTTTGTTTTCTTATAGAACCCAGGACCACCAGCCCAGGGATAGCACCCCCAGCAAGGGCTGGCTCTCCTCGATCGATCACTAATTTTACAAATTCCTATAGGCTTACCTGCAGGCAGATTTTATGGAGGGATTTTCTTAATTAAGGTCTCCTTTTCTCAGATGACTTTAGCTTGTCATCTTTTGACTTATTTATTTATCTCTTTCTTATGTTTGATAATGGTATATTTTCAGTTTAGGCACAACGTGACCATTCTAGAATCAGTGGGGTACATATGATCTGACCCCAACACTGACTGGCCTTGGGTTAGGAAGCAAGGAAGCCAGCAGAAGGTCCTTGTCACATGTGCCTCATAGGTAATAGATTCCATAGAAGAAGCTGTGCTGTCACTAAGGCGTAAATCTTTTTGTGAAACTCTTATACATAACAGTTTTAATTCCTAATTTATTAGTTCTCTACCTTCTGTAGAGAATGAGAGGTACAGAGCAGGGCCTGTGGAACCTTTGCTGAGGAACCGGTAGTCCACGTGCATGCAGCGGTGTATACAATACAACTCCAGATGTATTTCTGCCTAGGCTTCACTTTTAGAGTGTAGCTAGCCTTTTACCTAGAATTTTATACTGGAGTGGGTTTTTTTTTTTTTTTGTCGTTGTTTTTGTTTTTTCACTTGTAATCTTTCATGCTATTGAAATCTTTTCCCCTAACTGCCTTTTGGTCCCCTCTTCTGAGAGGCACACATAACATGTTCTTTCCTTTTGCCTTTTTAACCCCTGCATGAAAATGAAACCATTACTTGATGAATGAATGAAGGCTTGTAGTCCGGAGCTTATATTGAAATCCTGTTTTACACTAACCTGCATAATGTAATTTATGCATTTTAGACATTTTTGTAAAGCAAAAGTGAGAAGAGAAGAATGTAAAGTTCACATTATAGTTGATCCTGGGGGTCATTTACGTTAATCTGCATTTACAATAATACCTGTATTTGTAGCATCAAGGTAGAACATAGGCATTTTGGAATATTTGCATCTTTATATCTTAATTATGAACATTTCTAACATACAGACTGTTGAGTAATACAGCATACAGCCATGTTCCCACCTTCCTACTAAATGAAGAGCCAGTGGTTAGAGTTTTAGCTCATCTGCTGCAGGCATGACTTTACTCCTGTATTTATAGTCATATACCCAGCCATGTATTTTATTTTTATTTTATGCATTTTCATTATGCTACAAATTTTGTTATTCATAGATACTCCAATATACTTACCATATACTAGATCTCAGCTTCATTCATTTTTAACCTAAAATGACCACTTTTAAAAGGAATCATTTTTTTTCTAATTAATGGCAAGACAAACTTAAGGCTCTGAAGCCATCGCTGCAAATAATACACCAGTGGAGGTCATGTTTGTTCCCATACATCAAAAGCAAATTGCATGAGATTGTGGCTTTATACCTTACTGGGCATCAACTGAGGAACTAGGAGTCACTTAGGAATGTTGACAGCTCAGCGGAGCCTGATGGTGCAGGCTGTGGTGCCGGCTGTGGTGCCGGCATTTGGGAAGTGGAGGTAGGAGGGGTGATTTCACAGTCATTGTTAGCCGCCTAGCTGCTTTGAGATCAGCACGGCCTACTTGAACGAACTCCTGCCTCAACAACAGCAAGCTGGAGAAAATTTGAATAGATGAGTAGAAATTTGAAGTCAGTGAAGAGTATATGGAAAATACTCTGCAGAAGTCCCATGCTTTAGCTCCTTGTTGACTGTGGGGTGGCTTTTGGTGTTTTGTTTTGAGCTGGTGGCATTGAATGTTGCCCAGGCTGATCTGGAACTTCTAGGGCCAAGCCTTCCTCTTGCCACAGATTATAGGTGTGTGCATAAGTGCCCAGCCCTAGTTGACTTCTAATTAGACACCAGTGTTTTGTTTTTAATCTGTGGTCTATAGTGTATGTAATTTAAATTGATTAAAGGTCTGCTGGGTGGGGTTCCGTGAGCCCTGAACATGTCCATCTCATTTGCATTTTGTGGCAGGTACCAATGTATTCTCAAGCTGCTGTCCACCTTTACTAAGAAAAGAGTATAAGGTTGTTTTCTTTTTCATTTTTCTTTTTGTCCTGAATGGATATGAAGGCTACTTAATGCAGTAAACCGAAGTAGATGCCTGGTGCAGAAGTCTTCACGGAGCAGCTGTTTCTAGAGACAAAGCTTAGCTCTGTCTTAATGCTCACTCCGGAGCGCCCTCCCGGCCTTCTGCAGCCTGCTTCAGTTCCGAGTGCCCGAATCCTTCTTCCCTGAGTATGGAGCGTACATAGCTGAGCAGCCTCGCTAGCGTATAGATCGGGAGGAGGGTTAGTCCTTCTCATGTGTGGGGAGAGCTCACTGAGGCCGAGCCAGGCCATCAGTGAGTACATTCTCTGATGGCAGAGGGTGCTGAGAATCAGCAGGTTTAGTTTCAAACACAAGGCTTTGTTAAAAAGGAGGCTTTGTCAGAGGAAAGGAGAGGGAGGCTGGAATATAACGCAAAGGACGTCTCTGTCTTTGAGATCAATCCCATTTCCAAGGCCATATATGTGCTTTTATGTAAGAGATGGACAACTGGAAAATGGCTTCTTACAACAGTACATACTATGGCTTCTGTTACTTAACATTGCTCAAATGCATTTAATTTGAAAATGGTGGTTTAGCCAGCTGTGAGTGAAGTCTGCAGTAAAGGCAGTAACTTGGGGTGGGGAGGGGCTTCCTTCTTTTATTTTTTTATGTGTATGGGTGTTTTGCCAGCATGTATTTGAAGCACATGTGGGTACCTACCAACTGAGTTCAGAAAAGGGCATCAGATCTCCTAGAACTGACCCACTGGAATCACAGATGGTTTTTGCCATGTGGGTGCTTAGACTGGAACCTAGGTCCCCTGGAGCAGCCAGTGCTCTTAACTGCCAAGCCATCTCCACAGCCCTGACTTTATACTCTTCATAGTTAGAAAATCGTAATACTGAAGTTTTTCTTTCTGTCTTCTAATTCAGGACCTTGGAGGAGTGAACAGAACGAAGCCCAAGGTAAGCAGTTCTACAGCCTTCTACAGCGCTGTTCCTTGCAACATCCAGTCACAGTGGAGACTTGGAAATGCAGATGTGATACCTTGTCGGTTGATCTATTCTATTCTGATTCCTACCCTCTCTTTTTAACATTTTCCTCAGCCTCCAGAACCTGAAGATCTCGCGATAATCTGTTTCACAAGTGGAACCACAGGTATATTTTGAGATGTACTGGCTTCAAAGCAGTATTTGGAAATCCATGATCTCTGCTCCCCCTTTAGATAATGTATTAACTAATTATAGGTGGGGGCAAGAAAACGCGAGCTAGCCAGGGACCAAGGAGGTCATCCTGTTGCTCTGAGACAGTCTCGGGATCTGAGCAGGGCGAGCATCTAGTTAACTCAGATCACTGAGCGTGGCCTCAGATGTACTCCGTCAGTATCTTGGCAGAAGAAGATCCCCAGTTTTCTTCCCCCGTTGATGCACGTGAAGATTTTAATGAATGTTTACGGTAATTTCATGATAGTGAGTTTTCTCTGAAGGATCTCAGGCTGCTCAGAAATTTAGTATTACTCAGTTTGGCCATTTGGTAGAGCTATCTGAAGCCCTGATGATAGAGGGTTTCTGCCATTCTTGGCTGGAATATCTAACCTTGTTCTCCTTCCTGTGTGCTCTGCAGGCAACCCCAAAGGAGCAATGGTCACTCACCAAAACATTATCAACGATTGCTCAGGTTTTATGAAAGCAACAGAGGTAATTCTTAAGAATATTATCATGGTTTTTCCACATTCATTGATTGACTTTAGGCCCCGAGAGAGAGAGAGAGAGAGAGAGAGAGAGAGAGAGAGAGAGAGAGAGAACTAAATCCCTCCTCTTCCTCCAACAGGTCCACATTGTATGTAAGAGCACTGAGGTGTGAATGAGATGGATTTGTAGTGAGGTCAGAAGCCCCCTTCCCTCAGATGCTTTACCTGTGGATCTAAGCCCATAAGCCTTACTGTGACATTAGGATGAATCACCAGATGGAATTCTTGGTGGCTTTCATGTGGAGGAATATTTGAATGTCACCCTTTACTTTTAGGAAAAGACAAAGGAGAAACCTTTCAGTGCCTTTACTAACGTGTTAGGAACCTAATTTTCTTTAAGTTACCAATGAATGTGAAAGACAGCTAGCTGAAGGTTTTAAAATCACTGTTCTGTCCTGTGGTCTGTTTGACTCCATTGTATAAGAAGGATTAAAGTCTGAAACTCTAGTTAACTACATGCCCTCTTAAGGGTTTCTGTCCGCAGGTTTTAGTCTGCACGGGTTGCCAATAACAAAGCACTACAGCCCAAGTGGCTTAAACGACACGTGTTCATTTCCCTCAGTTTAGGAGGCTGAAAGTCCAGGACCAGCCGCCAGCAAGTTTGGTTGTTGGTGAGGGCTCTCTTTAGGGCTTGCAGAGATGGCTGCCTCTTTCTGGGTCCTCTGGTGTCCCTTTCTCTTCTAGAGAGACCAGGCTGCTGGGTCAGAGGTTACTCACTCCCAAATCTAGTCATATCAGGGCCTATCCCCAACACGTGGGGCTTAGGACTGTCCTGTGTGAACTTGGGAGGGGGACAGAGCTCAGTCCCTAACTCCAAAGATAGCGTGCATGCCTATCTTTGCAAAGGTGGCGTCTTTTAAAAGCATACATTTAACGGTATGCTTTTGCAGGCTCTTGGGAGTGTTCTCTAGCCCTGCCTGTGGCAGGAGACTGCCTGCACCTAATAGTTTAGAGAAGTGGACGTCTTTCTTTGGTGGATGCTGGGCTGAGTTTTGAGGATGCTTCCACTTGGTTTTACCCCACTCTCACATTTCTTGTTCTCACCCCCTAACCTTTGTGTGTGGGGGTGTGTGTGTGCTGTATTGTCAAAGCTCAACACTTAAAGTGAAATTCAAATCTTCCAGTAGACCTTCGGGGTCTTTGAGATGACAGAACTTCACTGAAAAACAGTTACACTATCAAGAAGCACTGCCAACTTCTAAACCTTATAACCACAGCACCAGCATGATTTTTTGTGGTTTATCAGAAATTTTTAAAATATGGGTGCTGGGAATGTACCTCAGCAGTAGAAAGCATGCCTTCCATGTTTGAGGTCCTGGCTTCACTTCAGTCCACATTAACACACACACGCACACGCACATACATACACAGACACCCCAACATATATATACTCACACTCTCCTCATGTCTGATTGGCATGACAGCAAGTGTGTGAGCGAGCCTTCTTTGTGTTAATAACATGCACTTACGTGCAAGCCCTAACTGCATACACCCATCCCTAAGAAGACCCACTCTGAGGACAACCAGGCATCCACACTTAGTCTGCCTGTGGGCTCATCTTGGTCGGGATCTTAGAGCGAATCTCTTCAAGCCAGACTTGAGGTTGCAGTAAACACTTTTGCGTGTTTTCCTGACGTGAAGGGAGGCTCAAAGATAAAGATGTTGTTCCAGCTCATCCACTAGAACATTTATACCATCAATCCAAGGTCCTGGGAAACCTTCCTGCTTCCCTTTGCAATATAACAGAGCTGTCCTGTCAGGGAGTGGACCTTATGTTGCTTAAGGGGCAGTGGAACCTGCCTGGTACTGGGGTGTTAACTGAAAGAGGAAGCACAAGGAGCACACAATCTCTCAACACTCTAGTTGGGGCAATATTTTCTTTATGGGGAGGTGGGCAGTAGTTCCGAAGTGGCTATGCCTGGTTATTGGGAATGATTTCCACTCTACTTGACTGAGTGTTGCTTTGGGACAGGGGATGCAGCCCTGTGGTAGAGCACTTGTTAACATGTGCACTGCCCTAGTGCCATCCCCAATAATACTAAAGAAGGAAATTACTTCTTATTCTTTAGTGCAAAAAAAATGCAGACAGAAGAGGTTGTTCTAAGTGTTGAGAGACTGTGCGCCCTGCTCTGAGGGAAATGGGAGGCATCCTGGAAGTCTTAACTTTTCTCTTCTTGCTGGTGTCCTTGCTTTCAGAGTTCATTCATCGCTTCCCCAGATGATGTTCTGATATCTTTCTTGCCTCTCGCCCATATGTTTGAGACCGTTGTAGAGGTAGGCATTTGCTGTGTCTCCCTCCTTGTCTGCGTGCGCCCCGCTAAGTTTTTTTGTCTTCCAGAGTGCACTGACCTTGAATGCCAGTGACACACAGATTTCCTACTTACCACTGGCACACATGTATGAGCAGCAGCTACAGGTAAGTGTGGTGCACAGCCCCTGCACATGCACACAAATGCACACATACACACATACATGCATGCACGCACACACATGCACACACACATGTGGATATACAGGCACACACGTGCATGTGCACACACACAAATACACACCCAGTTACACATTCTTGAGTGCACATGCACACACACACACACACACACACACACACACACACACGATTCTTCACTCAGCCCTATTGGAGCAGCAGTACAGGTTATTAGAAAGAATATGAGCTCTTGTTCTAGATCCATATTGGGTATTTGAACTTTAATCCTGAAGTTGAAAATCCAGAGTCTGAACATTCAAAGAATGCCCTAAGGACACAGTTGTAGGTGAACAATTAGAGGAAGATTTTTTTCCTTTTTTTAAAATTGAAAATAACTTTTTCATGCAGTATATTCTGAACTCTTTCCCCTTCCTCATCTCCCACATACTCCCTCCCCAGTCATCCTTGCCTTCTTTCTCTCCCTCTAGAAAGTAAACAGACCAGTAAAAAACAAAACAAAACAAAACAAATCCAACAAACCAAAATAAGACAAAGCAGACAGACAGACAGACAGGCACACACACATATACACACACGCACACACACAGAGACACAGAGAGATTGAGAAGAGAAGAGACAGGTCACAAAAACCACATATACAGGTACACACACTGGCACACAAAACCCATTAAAACACAAAAATCAGAAATCATGATAGATAAAAGACCAGTAAAGTTTTTTTTAAAAAAAGCATTATGAGACAAAACAGCTCCAAAATTAACTTTGGTTTTATTGTGTGTTGGTCACCTACTACTGGGCATGGGGCATCCCTTTTATGTGATTTGTATATCTGGTTAAACTTCTTTGGAGGAAACTAATTTTCCCCTGGGAATAGTTGTCAATCAAAGATAGCTTCTAAGTTAGGGATAAGGGGCCTGTGTTCAGCACTCCTTAATGCTGGGCCTTCATCTGGCTTAGGAGCTGCAGGTCCTGTGCATGCTGCCACAGTCTCTGTGAGGTCACCTGTGTGTCAGCCCTGTTGTGTCTAGAAGGCCTTATTCTGTCCCCATTGGCTCTAACAGTTTTCCATCTCTTCTTCCATAGAGCTCCCTGAGCTGAGGGGAGGGTTTGATGGAGACATCCCGTTTGGGACTGAGTGTTCCAAGGTCTCTCTCTCACTCTTGGCACATGAGAGTCTCCGTATCAGTCCCATCTCTAAAGGAAAGGTTTTGTATTCGTTGACTTGGAGGCACCTGTTGTGGAAGAAGCTTCTTTTGTGCTTCTCACTGATACACAAATTGGCTGAATCTTCTCACTAATATTCTATGTGCCCTGGGGAAGAAGGGTGGTGTTTAACTGACCTTTGCCTGGGTTCTCTATACATATCTGTGCACCTGGTTTAAAACCTGACCAAGGGCAGGGAGATAACTGAGTTGGTAAGTGATTGTCCTACAGGTATGAAGACCAGAAATCTGTCCCCAGAACCCATGTGAAAGACCAGTTGTGGTGGCAACTTGTCAGCCTAGCATTGGTGAGGTGGAAGACCTTGGGAGCTTGCTAGTCAGCCAGCTTAGCCTAGTCAGTGAGTCCCAGGTGTCAGAGAGAGACCTTGCCTCACAACAAGGCAGATTGTCTCCTGAGGAACACCACTGAGGGTGTCCTCTGACATACATAAGGGCACGTGCGCGCACACACGCACCCCTATACATACCCCTGCACACACACATGAAAGCACAGGCACACACACACATGCACATACACAAGGATCCTTCTTTTTGTTTTCTTGGACAATTTTTATTTTTTACTAGAATAAAAACAGTGGGCAACGTGTATTCCTTATTGAACCTTTCCTGAGACCCATCTGTGTGCCAGGACTCTGGTAGATGCAGGAAACAGTTGTCTAACAGACAGAGGACACTTTGACGGCTGCCCTGTAGGATTTGTGTCTCTCAAAAGGATGGAGGTGCATCAGGGTCTGTCCTCCGTCTTTTGCTCCTTGCACGTCACAGGATCTTAAAAGTTTATGAAGTGCACACACAAGTACCATCTGGTCCAGCAGTTCCCCTTCCAGGTACACACAGAAGTGTTGAAAGCAAGGACGCAAACAGGAGTCTGGACTCCAGGGCTCACACAGAGTTAGTCACAGCAGATGGTGAGTAGGAGCATCTCAAGTGACTATCAGTAGTCAAAGGGGCCAGATGTCCTACAAACAGTGGAACACCTGGAGAAGCTGGGGCTGGTGGCACAGACTTGTAATCCTAGCACCCAGGAGGCAGAGGAGACTCTCTGAATGCAAGGCTGCACTAATCTGCATAGTCCAGACAGGTCAACACAGTGAGACCCTGTCTCCAAAAAGAAAAAAAAAAGTATGCTGTGATATCACGTGAGTCATTAGTGAGCCACAGGTTCTGCCTGTGGCTTTAGAGGTGCGGCTGGGAGCACAGGCTGGCGGCCTCAGTGCTTACCAGAGAACCTCTGTACTTTTCTTTCTTTTGTTTGTTTGTTCACGGTGGTGGGGCAAAGACAGACAGAGAGAGAGAGGAGGAGGTGTGCGTTTGTGGAGGCGCAGACTTGCACACGCCATTGTGTGCATGTGGAGGTCAGAGGACAGCCTTTAGTTGGTGGTCCCTGCCTTTCCCCCTTGCTGTAGAACAGGGTCTCTCTGGCACTTTGTGACCTTGACTAAGTGGCCCCTGAGCTTCTAGAGTCTCCTGTCTTCTCTCCATTTCCCTGTACACTGTACAAGATGTACGTGGCTTTTTTCCATTTGTTTATTTTTTTATTTTGTGTGTACGAATATGGGTGAGCACGGAGGTCAAAGAACAGCTTGTAGGAGTAGGTTCTGTTCTCCCACCATGTGGAGCCTGGGGATTGAACTCAGGTCCTGGGACAAGGCTAGCCAGCACCTTTACCCCCAGAGCCATCACACCATCCCTCACTGTATACTTTTTAGTTTCTGCCTTAAAACTGTTGCTGTTCTGTCATCTTTTGAAATTTTTCTTTTAATTTTTAGCTTAATTTAGGCAGGTGATTTGTCTAATTTAAGTGGCCATTACACTTTGCAGGAGAGAGGGAGAGCCTCATGAGGTATAAACTTGCCCATACCCACTTGGAGTCCTGACTCCAGCCGGTTCAGTGTATTTTCAAAAAGTTTTACTTAAATACAAAAAAATGGAAATGAGATTTTAATAAGCCTAGTTTGAAGGCAGTGGGTATTTATTTTGAGAATAAATACGTTCTCAAGTTCCTGGAAGGCTAAAAATATTTGAGATGTATAACACATAACCCATCCAACAGCTGTTGCTTGTTAGCCCCAGATAGCCCTTCTCCTTACAATTAGGAAGAGCCTCCCCTGGTTTTACACTAACTCCTGTATCATTGGGATGGTGGAAATACTAAGTTCCCATGTCTGTACAGAGGCAGGTACATGCAAACATATTTTAAAAAAAAAAAAGAGGAAGCTACCCATATTTAGGAAGTCTAAAGACTTCTGGAAGCTGGTTTGAAACCTTAACCCTGCAGGCTCCCCTGCTGCGTGTCAGAGTGCAGTGGAGGACTCCTTGCAATGCTGACAGGTGTGCTGTCTGTGTTCACTCTTAGTGTGTAATGCTGTGTCACGGAGCTAAGATAGGATTTTTCCAAGGAGATATCAGGCTGCTTATGGACGACCTCAAGGTGCTTCAGCCCACCATCTTCCCCGTGGTTCCCCGACTGCTGAACCGGATGTTTGACAGAGTGAGTCCCAAGCAAGAAAGGGTAGGGGACAGAAGGTGGGGCTGTGAGTCCTGGGGCCAATCTGATGAGGGGTCAGCCACGCACCCTCTGTGGCCATCCGTCTGCTCATTCCCATAGAATGTCCGTGTCCACCTCCACAGTAGTAGAACTGAGTTACCGCACAGAACTGTTGGTAAGAGGAGACACACAGCACACTGTAGGTTTTTTGCTGGGAGGTGCAGGGTCAGTTTACTTTTTCCTGGTCTCTGATTGGCAACTCTCATCTAAAAAACAGACTGTTCTCCCTGTTTCATCCAGGTGCTAAATGGAGCATATAGATACCTATGAGATGGTTTTATTAATTGTCCCCCCAACCCTCTTGTGCCTGAACTGTCACTTCACTGCACTGAGAGAAGTGCCAAGGCCACAGCAGGGACTGAGAAGATGTGGCTTCTGCCACCTCAGCCTAGACTGCTCAGCCCATGCGTGGTCAGTCTTCAGCTGGGTACTGTTAGTACTTTACTCTTCTCCCGGAGGCTTCTGTCATCTCTAGGAATCTTGTTAGTTTTTAAGTCTGTTCTTTCAAAAAGCCTTTGAACAGTTCCACTGAGATGTAATTTCACGTATGTACAGTTTGCCCTCTCGAGGTGTGTACTGCAGGCCCTGAGGGTGGGGCTCCACCTCGTGCATGCCCAGGATCCAGCCAAGCAGTCAGAGCGTGGATGGTTAGTTCAGCAGTCTCGGTGCTGGTGCTACCATTTAAAACACTTCCAACACCCCAGGGAAGAACCCTGGGGTTCTTTACCTACTCTTTATCACCCCACCCTCCTGCCTCCTAGACTCCTAAGCAACCAGTATCATACCTTCAAAATACACATTTCAGTATTTTATAGCTTTTTATAGCCAACTACTATTCCAGTGTATGGTTAGAACACATGGTATCTAGCCATTCCTTCATTTATGGTCGTTTGGGTGATTTCAGCTTTTGGCTGTTGGAAATATCCTTCCTTCCTTGTAGACACTTGTACGCAGGTTTCTGTGATCATGTTTTCATTTCTTGTAGAGTTGGGCCACAGGGTAGATTTACACTTAATAGCTAGAGGGTCTGGTCAGTAGCTTTCCAGAGCAGTGTCCACCCCTCTGGCAGCCACAAGTTTCCTAGGTACAATATCCAGCACACTGTTGTTCCCCCCTCTTTGTTTTGTCTGTCTTAGAAGATGTGAAAACCTTACTTCTTGCCTCATTAGATTTTTGGACAAGCAAACACTTCAGTGAAGCGATGGCTATTGGACTTTGCCTCCAAAAGGAAAGAGGCAGAGCTTCGCAGTGGCATCGTCAGAAACAACAGCCTGTGGGATAAACTCATCTTTCACAAGATACAGGTAGCAGATACACTCCCCTCTCATATTTCCCATGGAAAGTGTGTGTGTGTGTGGGAGGGGGTGCAGGAAATGATGCAGTTCTATAACCCCAGTTAGGTGGCTTAGGTAGGAAGATTCCAAGTTCAAGGCTAGCCTAGGCAATTTAGTGAAACCCATTTGCAAAACTTAGACTTACTTGCAAACTAAAAAGAGGGGTAGAGACACAGCTAGCTCAGCGGTAGAATGCTTGCCTAGCATGCACACAGCCTTGAGGTATCAACCACTTAGACGCACGCACACACACACACACACACACACACACACGCAGGCCCACAGGGTTGGAGGTGGTATGAAGTCAAGAGAAAATAACTGGTCTAGGTGGAAGGATTTGGGGTATTTTAGCCTGCCTTCCGCTTTTCTGGAAGTCTGCCACTCCAGAAGTAACGGTTTAAACCTGAGATTAAGAATGTGTAATAGCAGATGCTGTCCCAAATGCCAAAATGTAGGAGTTGCCACAAATCTGATCCCTAGGTCACCCAGCAGCGGAGCCTTAGCACCAAGTCTGCTAGGAGGAAATGTACAGCTCCAGGAGGGATGAGCTTGGTCCTGGGTCCTGATGTGAACACTATCCCAAGCTGCCCGTGCCAGCTGCAGGGAGGCTGGTTGGCTGTGACACGGGGACCTAAGCAAGTGTGTGACAGAGGACCTCTGACTTCTGCATGTGTAACTCTATAACTTCTCTCTGTCTTCCAAGTCGAGCCTGGGTGGAAAAGTTCGGCTGATGATCACAGGAGCAGCCCCAGTGTCGGCCACAGTGCTGACGTTTCTGAGGACGGCGCTCGGCTGTCAGGTGAGGCTCATCAACACCTGATAGTCCCAGGCTTCGTCATGTTATGGGCTGATTCACTGACGGGCAAAAACGTATGTGTGTTTTCCTTTTACAACATGGTGTGTGAATACATCAGGTAATCACTAAATTACCGCACATACTTGTCAATTTTGTGTGTGGTGAGAACACGTAGAAAGCACGCAGCTATTAGCAAGTAGAGAGTACAGTATATTTTACTCTGTGGTCCACGAGATTGTCCCCGAGCTTATGCCTGTCTGTATATAGTAGATCACTTGCGCTCAGTCTTCTTCCACCAACTCGTGTGTTCACCCAGCATGTCCCCAGCCCCCAGCCCCCAGCCCCTCATCTGAACATGTCTTGGTTTGCTTGGAAGGTAGGTTAGCTCCAGATTTCCTAGAGAAATAAATCTGTGTGTGTTTTACTCTAGATAAAATAATTTTATCTAGGGTAAGGCTTGAGCCGTGTCTTTAGAGTGTGGCTTCAGGGATGGCATGGGTCATCAGAGGTAAGCCTACCACACACTGCTGAGAGGATGTCATAAAAGCGGCTGGGGTTTGTGGTGACACTCAGGACAGGTGTGAGACAACCTGGACCAGCAGAACAGGGCTACTACCAGGTAGATAGTGACCCATCCAATGGCGGCTCCCCCTTCCCTGACACAGGAAGTCGAGTAGGAAGGTAAACATGGAAGATGTTTGGGGTGCGTATTATGCTGTTGAGTGTACTTACTAAACTGAAAGCTAAAAGATTTCAGAGGCTAGGATTCCTTGGGAGTTAGTAAAACTTGATTTCTTGTGCACTTCCTGCAAAGACATGGTTGTCCCGCGTTAATAGTGTCTTGTTTCTTGCTAAGTTCTATGAAGGCTACGGACAGACCGAGTGCACTGCTGGTTGCTGCCTGAGCTTGCCTGGAGACTGGACGGCAGGTATGGTTGGCAGGAGAGCCATTTCCCAACTCCTCATTGGAGTTCGAGGTTGGGATGACTAGAAATGGATTCGTTGTTGATTGGGTCATTAACCTCCTTAGGCCTCAGGCAAGTAGTCCTGAGGTGGGTAGAAAATGGTTGCAGTACCCAGGTGCTTAGGCTGTGACACACCCTAGCAGAGGCATCTGGACAGAAGGTGCCTCCTCCAGCAGATTTGCTACTGACTGAGCAGGCTCTCATCATTTGCTGGTGGTTTTAACCCAAATGTAGCTCTTCCAGTTGTATATGTGCCAAGCCAGGTGTTGAATCTGCTGATAGAAATGAACACAAACCCTTTATCTCAAGAAAACATAGTAGACGATAGCCACAGAGGTTGTTGGGCCTCTACAGTAGATAAGGTCTGTAGGAACGGCGTATGATGGACACCGTGTGAGTGTTAACTGGGAGACACTTTGAGAATGTTAAAGTTACAGATGTTGCTTAAATAGCATTGTGCTGTGGGGTCGTAAAGCACACTGCAAAGCTTTATGCTACTCTCTGTAGCCCTTTTGTAGGTTCCTCTGCTGCACATCAGTTAATGAGCATCCCTGACCTTTGGTATAGTATAGATCTAATAACTATCTACTAATGTGACCCTAGCATCTATGCCTCATACTGTAATTCTACAGGAATCAGTGCAGACACTCTGGAAGCATCGTTATACCTTCAGTTTTTAGCATCAGGTTTCTTAACAGCCATAGAATTTAGAATAACAATCTCTGTATGTTAAGATTATTAAAGCGTAAGTATTATTAATGTATCTGTTATTGTTATATTAGGAAAAGACACCCTGTCCTGGTTTGCTTAGCTGCTGTGATAAATCACCATGACCAAAAGCAACTTGGGAAGGAAGGGATTTATCTCATATTACTGCTCTCAAGTCATACTCTATCAAAGGCAGAGCCAGGACAGGAGCCCAAGGCAGGAACGGAAGCAGAGGCCACAGAGGAATTCCGCTGGCCTGCTATCCATGGCTTGTTCAGCTGGGCTCTCCCCACACCACTCATTAATCAGATGCCCCACAGAGTTGCCTACAAGGTCCCCCATTCCAGGTGACCTAGTTTGTGTCTAGTTGTCAAAAACTAACCAACACACACCGGATCCCTCCCTCTCTTAGACAACAGAGTTAAATTGACTGTGGCAATAATAGATTTCAGTGTAAAAACACACTCATCTAAAAACAATGGCTGTGTCAGCCCGAGTCAAAGGATGTGTCAGAGAAGAATCAGGTTGTACAGAGCTACCTGTGATTTTCTTAGAGAGTGAGGACATTAAGAAGTTTGACACTGGGTGTGGTAGTGCAAGCCTGTCCCAGCACTGGCAAGTAGAGGCCGGGGTGGGTGGAGCTAATCCAGTCATGGACTTGAGGTAACAGTTTTATTTAGAAGGCAAGGCTCCAGGTGTCTGTAACCAACCTTCAGATCAGTGGCCAGAGTTTAAATGTTGAAAATGTAATCAAAATCTCAGAACTGGGAGAGTCCTGAGAAGACTTTTGGGTGTTCTCCCCTCTCTTTGAGAAAGAAGCTCTCTTAAATTATTTTACCGGGTGTGTGTGTGTGGGGGGGGGGCTGTAATTACAAAATCCAGAACTCTATAGCAGCTGTTACTAAGAGGGAGCATGTCCATTGTAAACATGCTTTGGCCTCAGACCATTGTAGTGTGCTTTAAATGATTCTCCCATTTTCTTTGTAGGCCATGTTGGTGCCCCCATGCCTTGCAATTATATAAAGCTTGTAGATGTGGAAGACATGAATTACCTGGCTGCCAAGGGTGAGGGTGAGGTGAGTGAGGGCCTGTCTGTCGCTGGTGAGTAGCATCTCCTGTAATAGCTGGCTGTTAGGAGCACAGTTCCGGGAGCACTCAATACAGCTATTAAGCCTGGTTCTGTTGGAGAGCTTGGTGTCAAGCAGGTCAATTCAAAGGTACATTTATGCTTGATTCCCAGGGGTTGGAGGCAGGATACTTTAGTCCTTCCTTGGGACCAAGAACATGACACACAAGCCCCAGTGAGGCTTGTCTCCAGTCTGCTAATGGCCCTGCCTGTGCTGGTTAGAAAGCCTAATTATGCAAGTGATGTCATCTGATCTGAGGCTTGCATTACCCCTACTCCTGAGGTCAGTAGGAAAGGAAGTGGGGGGCACTAGAAATGTCTCTCAAGGTCCTAATGGGACTTTGGTAATTCCCAATAGAACAGAGGACTGAAGCCTTCTAGATAAACGTTGGGACACACACACACACACACACACACACATAGTTTTCTTGGAAATCTCTGGTAAATGTTGTGAACAGACCATCTCTTCTTAGGTGTGTGTGAAAGGGGCAAATGTGTTCAAAGGCTACTTGAAAGACCCAGCAAGAACAGCCGAAGCCCTGGATAAAGATGGCTGGTTGCACACAGGGGACATTGGAAAATGGCTGCCAGTAAGTCAACACCTCTCTTCTTTGCAGATGGCTTTGTCTGGATGCAGGGAGGAACATGTTTCTCCTGCTACATGCACAGCCTGTGACTTTTGTACCCCACCTCTCTCCTCTCCTTTATCTCCTGCAGGAGACATGCTTATACTCTCTGCACACTAGTTAAAATGTTGACTTTTACTGTAGCACAATGCTTTTGTTTTGCCGCCTAATATTAGTTCATTGCTGCTTCCTCTTTAGCATCCAAAAACAAAACAAAAAGCCCTGGATTTTTACATCAAGTAATGCCTTGATTTTGGTGCTTGCAAATATTCCTACAGTTTTATATGTGTTGGGACTGACTTCCCAAAGTTCTAAAACGTTTGCCTTCCCTAAAAAGTGGGAAAGGCCTAGGAGATTTGGTCTTTGTCCATGGAGTGCTATGAAAAGGTAAGACTATGTCCTGGCTGTCAGGAACACATTTGGTGAGCAGGATATGTGTGTCCCCACTTCAGACTGGAGGCTAAATAATATATAAGTCTGATGCTAAGTGGGGAAGTGGAAACCACATGGGCTCTGGAATCTCTCTCTGCATGGCCAAGTGGCCCTAGGCAACTTCAAATACCTTGTACAGTGACGATGGTGGAAAGCCAGCCCGGAGCTCACCCGTCGCCCCTTCCTCTCTGGTACACAGAATGGCACCTTGAAGATTATCGACAGGAAAAAGCACATATTTAAACTAGCCCAAGGAGAGTACATAGCACCAGAAAAGATTGAAAATATCTACCTGCGGAGTGAAGCCGTGGCCCAGGTGTTTGTCCACGGAGAAAGCTTGCAGGTATGCTCTCCCTAGGTTAGACTGTTGCTGGGCAGTGCGAGGTCACATGAAGTACAGGGACTTGTAAGGTGATGGGCACTAGGCATGGTGGAACACGCCCACAGTCCCAGCCCTGGGGAGGGGGAGGGAACATGAGTTAGAGGCCAGCCTGGTTACTTAGGGAGACCTTGTCTCAAGAGTTAAAACAGAAAGGTGATTGACAGTTGGAGTCAGTACCGTTGACCTTTATAAATGTGGTCTAGACTAGCACTGACCCACTATCGGGCCACTACTGCAGTGGCCCTCCCTCCCTGTCCTCCAAAGCTGTTTCTCTTCAGTCTCTGGATCTCCATGTTGACTTTAGTAAATTCATCTGGAGTACCAATAGTAATGGGATAGAGATACTCGGGGTTTCTAATGTAACTATGAATGAAAATATTAATAGTTATTGAATAGAACACAGTTTTATATTTTTAAAGATAATTTTATTTTATATGTGTGAATGCATGTATGTTTGCACCAAATGGTAACCTGTGGAGGTCAGAAGAAATCACTAGACTCCATGGATGGAGTTATGGATGGTTGTGAGCCCCTGTGTGGGAGTCGAGAACTGAACCTAGGTCCTCTGCAGGAGCAACAAGTGTTCTTAACTACCGAGTCCTCTCTCCACCTCCAAGTTTTACATTTTTGTTTTGAGACAGGATTTCTCTTTGTCATCTTGGCTGTCCTGGAACTTATTCTGTAGACCAGACTCAAACTCACAGAGATCCTCCTGCCTCAGCCTCCCACATACTGGGATATTCATCCTAAATGATTCTTTTGAGAAAATTATGTTGTAAGTCAGGCATATTTAATGTTGAAAACAAAAATTAGTATTCTAATTAAATATGAAATTTCCAGAAGTATACACAGCCTCGCACACTTGTAATCCTACTGCTTAGGAGGTAGAAGTGAGAGGATTAGGAGTGTAAGGTCAATCTCAGCCATGTAGCTAGTTCAAAGCTAGCCTGAGCTACATGAGACCCTGGTCTCAAAGCAAAAATCAAAACCAAGTAAAAAGGTACATATTGAAGTAAATGGAAATTACGTTTTTGTTAGATTTTGATTTCCAGTGACTGGTTGTGTCTGAACTTTGGGGATGATAGTTCCTCATCTGGGCTCAGGCAGCCCTGGAAAGAAATAGCATTCTGAGAGACAGCTCGCGTAATATTACCAGATAATCCCACAGGCCTGCGGTGCAGGCAAACAACTGTAGTGAGTCACTTGTCTGTGTTGTAGGCCTTTCTCATAGCAGTTGTGGTGCCCGACGTTGAGAGCTTTCCTTCCTGGGCAGAGAAGAGAGGATTTCAGGGGTCCTTCGAAGAACTGTGCAGGAACAAGGTGAGGCTGAAGTGTCCCGGCTATCTTCCATCTCTCCACTCCGTCCTCAGCACCTATAGATATGAGAGAAAATAATCTGATTTTTCTTACATTATTAGGATATCAATAAAGCTATCATGGAAGACATGGTGAAACTTGGGAAGGATGCTGGCCTGAAGCCATTTGAACAGGTATGGCTTTGATCAAGGGCATGAATTTAGTATAGAACAGAGTCTGGCTTGAAGATTTTTTAAATGTCTATTTGTTTATGTATTTTGTGCATTTGCACGTGTTGCTGGGAATTGAACTCAGAACTCAGGAAGACCAGCCAGTGTTCTTAACCCCTGTGCTATCTCTCCAGCCCTGATTTGAAGATTTTTAATGAGTAGATTTTAGAAGTTGGAGAGTGGACCTAAAGACTAGGAATAGTTTGATGTAAAGGTTTTGTTTTTTTTTAAGATGTGTGTGTGTGTGTGTGTGTGTATGTGTATATGTATTTGTACATGAATACAGGTGCCAAAGAGTCCAAAGGTATCAAATCTGGACTGGGGTTACTGACAGGTGGGAGCTGCCCACCTTGTATTCTAGGATTTGAACCTGAGTCTTCTGGAAGAACAGGAAGTGCTCTTAACCGCTGAGCTATATCTCCAGTGCCAGGGTGCTTACTCAATAAGCCACTTCTCTCTTCCCTGAGGTTTCCACACCATCCTGAGTTCTGTCCTAACAGAACCCACATCCACTGCTTGAGAAAGTACAGTGAAGGGTGAGGGTGGGTTGGTGCCTTAATGGTCTTCATCCCCTCTGAGAACTTCCTTTCTCTTTAGACTCCTTAGGGGATGTCTGTGTGTCTGTCCTTATGTCCCTTCCACTTTAACAGCTGTGTTTATTCACAGGTCAAAGGCATTGCTGTGCACCCGGAATTATTTTCTATTGACAACGGCCTTCTGACTCCAACCCTGAAGGCAAAAAGGCCAGAACTCCGGAACTATTTCAGGTCTCAGATAGATGAGCTGTACTCCACCATCAAGATCTAATGTGAGGAAGAAGACTTAGAAGAAATGGCTCACCTCCACAATCCTCCTCGTACCAATGGCCTTCGAGTTGGTAACTTTGCCTGCAGCGAGTGTGGGAAACGAAATGCCATGCCGGACTTGTCCACAGGGTCTCACCATAGGGATAGTCGAGGGCACGGAACACTGCCTTACTTACAGTCACCTGTGTTGCAGCCCATGATCCTGGGGACACACAATTTCCAAAACGAGCCTTAAACATTATAAAGGGGAACCCATAAAAGTGCTAAGTTATTTAAGACTTCTTCAACCAATAAGGTGGGTGTTACAACCTCTGTCTCCTGTTTTTGTAACTGAGGGGTTAGGACTTGCTCTTTCTGATATGTCTGCTGCTTGCTGCACATTCTGCAGCTGTCTGCTGCTCTGAAGAGTACAGTACACTGGAGGAAAGCTGTCCCTTTAAGAACAACTGTCCAGGCTGAAGAAAGTCACAGTGGACCAGAGATTTTTCTTTTAACCCCTTCCCTGCCCGCCCCTTGCCCCTTTCCCTCCCTCACAACTTCACATGCAGTGCACTCACATGGCCTGTCTGGTTTGTAAGGCTTCCAGGCCGTCCCTGCTGTGCCTGCTGGAAACCTCAGACCCTCCTCAGAACGATGTGGGTGCCCAGTCTCAGAAAACAAAATGGTGGCTCCCGAATTGAGCCAGTAGCTTGTGGCTCACACAGATGTTCTCAGACTCCTCTCCAAATCTGGTCTCCTGCCACCCTCCCCTTTGTCCCAGGGGTTATAAGAAATCCTGCCTTAGACTCTGCAATGAAGATGGTATTTCAGAGAATGATCTGGATCGGCCATGCTCAACTGTGATGCCTCCATTGCTGTCCACCTGCTCGTCTTGGAACCAGCTCGTGTCTGCAATGGCCTCTGGGCTCCAAACGTGGTTTTCCTAGCAAATGATAATGTGGTGATCCACTTGCTTATTTTTTTCCTCCCAATTAAACTCAGGCAAAGCATGTCTTCAAAACTATTTAGGGAGTTGATACACGTGGGTACTTATTAAAATGGACAGTAATAAGAAACTATCCTTATTATAAAACTACCTGATTTATGTGAAATGCATTCGACAAGCCAAAAATCTGGGGTGAAGAAATCTGGGGAAAAAAATCATATCCTGGGATTTACTTCCCAAGGTATATATATATTTTTTAAGTTAATCTGGGAAATTAACAGCATTTCACTTTACTGCGAGTCTTTGCCACATCTGACCTACCCAAGCTGTTGTTGATCCATTTGAAGCCACTGTCGTTGGCTGTGTGACTGCGTGTGTCATTGAAGCACAACCGGGTTTGCACTAAAGAACCGTCATTGTAATAACACTATTTGGTAGCCTAACTTCATATTCGTAATTCTTAATTGCACAGGAAGTTGATAATTTGTCACAACGGGGTTTTGAATGTTTGCTTTCAGTGTTGGCTATTTCTATGTTTTATAAACCAAAAACAGAATTTCAAAAAAAAAAAACAATGAAGGAAACCAAAATAAATATTTCTGCATTTGGAGTGAGTGGAGAATGTCTTTCGAGTGCATTGTGACATTTGGGACAGCCAAAGTGTGCACCTTGAGGAAGCACGGCTTGGAAACCATCGCTTCCTTCCCGTCCCTGGTCTCTCCCCAGTCCAGTCTTGCTATGGCGCTTCAAATACTGTCCGTCACCTCTCTACCAGCTCATCTGCTCACACCCTCCCATGCCTCCAGGAAGAGCATCGTGGTATAGATGCTACGCTAGAGATGATAAGAGTCTCTGCTCTCTCCCTTATCACAGAGCTGCTTTGCTTGAAAAGGACAGTGTCAGGAGACGTTAGCTGCTGTTGATCTGCAGTGATGATGGGTTTAACTTCCCTGTTTGTAGTAACTCTTTCTTGTTTATAAGGAAAAAAAAGAGCAGCCTTGCTCTTAAACTTGCCTGGCCTCCTCCTTGTCACCAGGCGTTTATTGGCTCCCAATTTCTTTCAAGCCTGTTGTGCTTAATTCCACCACTGCAAGTGTTACCACATCAACCTCTTCCCATTTGTGTTTGTGAGGGTTGGGGGATGTTATTTTGCTTTTAAGAGGAAGACAGACAGACAGACAGACACACACACACACACACACACACACACACACACACACACTGTCTGTATGAGTTCTTAATAACCCCAGGCTGGTCTTGAACTCACTCTGTTGCCAAAGGACTGTTTGAACTCTTCCTGCTTCAGCCTCCAGAACAGCTGAACGTATAGGCTTGTGATACCAGTCTATTCTTTCAGATTTATGGTCAGTTTATGTTTGTGTTCGTCCCCTCAAGCCCAGGTTTATATATCTGACCCAGCTTGTTCCGCTTTCTGTTGCTGTAACACAGTATCAGAGACAGAGTGGTTTGTAAAGAATTAAGATGATTTAGCTCATAGTTCTAGAGCCTGGGAAGCCAGAGGACAAGCTGCCACCATCTTAACTTATGTAAGGGTGCAGTTGTGGGTTTAAAGACATTCATATTCATGTACCAGCATCTGTTTAGACGACATCTGGCAGAGTCCCAAAGTGGGTACAGATTATTTCAGGTACAGGGGCCTATGAGGGATGGACAAGCTTGCTTTTTTTCTAAACTTCTTGTTCATTTTTTTTTGTAAAGTTCAGATCACGCACCCCGATCCCTTTCCCCATCCCTTATACCGTCCTTGCAACTCCTGGCAAAAGGAAACAGTAAACAAACAAACAAACAAATAAATACCATGGAAGCTGTGGTGTGTCACACACGCTTTTGTTCAAAAGTCTTCACGTGCAAACGTTCATTGCAACGAGTCATTGGTCTGGTTCAAGGCTTCTGACTTCTGCTTCGCCATCAATACTGGATCCTCTTCTGGACTCTTCTGGGATATCCTGTGGTTGCCCTGTGTCATGGAGATCTTGCAGGTTTGATTCTGAAAGAACAGTACTTCCTGCGCTCCAGCGGCTCACAGATGGGGTAGATGTTGGGGAGAGACAAGTCAAAGCCCGGGATGTGGGCCTGGGTGGTAGCCGAGTTTGCTAGCCCTATAGCTTTTCCAGGACAGAGCCACCAGGGCCAGCTCTCCCGGTGGAAAACAGCTCTCTGGCTTTGCCCAGCTGAGGGGCAGGGCCAGTTCTGTTCCTGGCACAGCTGGCAAGTCTTGGGATAGACACTCATATCATCAGGGCAAGCTCTCTGGTGCAGGCTGGGTGATGTGCAGGGCTACTCTCCTGAGAGCTGCAGGCTAGGCTTGCTTTTTATTTTATTTCATGTAGATGGGTGGTTTTTGCCTCCGTGTTATCACCACACGGTAAGGGGGCCCTAGATCAGACTGAAGCTGAATTTACAGAATGTTGTTAGCTACCATGTAGGCATTGGGAATGGAACTCTAGTTCTCTTAACCACTGAGCCATCTCTCCAGCTGCCAAGCTTGCTTTTCTAACAGACCTACCTGTAAAGACAAATTATTCCTTTGATAACCCATCACTATGCAAGTGGATTAACCCATTCGTGACAACAGAGCCGATCACCTCTCCAAATACATAGACTTTTGGGAGTTACAGTTCTAATGCACTCGTGGCTTCTAGTCCAGACTACCTTTGTTTTAAAAATCCCATTTTGCCTTCCTCTTTCTCTCTTCCCCTGATTGAAGTATGAGGTGTTGAGAACACATATTATTTTTAGCCCCCAAACCAGGGACTTAGAAACTAGTGAATAGTCAATAAATCTTGACATTCAGAGCAAAGTTGTAACAAACAGGTGGTTTGGTTTGTCCTGGTGACATGATCATATGAGTATCTTAACCTGTTTTAAGCATCTGGCTCCCGAGAGGTTCACATCCCTGTGGTACCACTGGCACAAGCAGAACTTCATCTTCCAAAGCACAAACTTGGTGTCTGTTAGTAACTCCCACACTCCCTTTCGCCTGCCTCAGCCCCTGGCCCAACTCCACTCTGCTTCCTCTCTGAATTTGAATGTATCTCCTTACAGGATGCACTTACAGTGGCATCAGGTAGCTTTGTTCCTTTCATGGCTGGGTATTCATCTTAGCATGTTACAAGGCTCAGCTGTATTTTCGAATGTGTCACAACACCCTACACATATTCTTTTCTTTTTCTTTTTTAGATTTGGGGATTTTTTTTTTCTGTGTAGACTCTGCCTCCCAAGTGCTGGTATTAAAAGGTCTGTGCCACCCCTTCCTCCTCCTGCCCCCTCCCACCTTCTTCCCTTTTAGGCGGAACAGTATTCCACTGTTTGTAGGATATTTGGTGCCCGTTTGACTACTGATAGTCACTTGAGATGCTCCTACTCACCATCTGCTGTGAATAACTCTGTGTGTGCCCTGGTGTACAACTTGTTTTGAGTCCCTGTTGTTAAGACTTCTGTTGTATACCCAGAAGTGAATTTGCTGGACCTTATGATAACTGTGTGCATATACCTTTTTTTTTTGAACTGCAATAATGTTTTCCACAGTGACTGTACCATTGTACTTTTTGAACAGCAGTGTCCTTTGTTTTTATAATAGTGACTTGGTAGCTATGGTTTCCATTTGTATTCCCAAGGCAACCACTGATACCTGGCATCTCTGCTCCAAGGTCATTTATACATCTGCAGAGAGGTCTGAAAGTCCTTTGGCCCCTTTAAAAACTGAGTTCCTGAAGCCGGGGGGTGGGGGGGAGAAGGGAAGAGGGGGAGAAGAAAGGAGAGAGGAGAGAGAGGAGAGAGAGGAGAGAGAGGAGAGAGAGAGAGAGAGAGAGAGAGAGAGGGAGAGAGAGAGAGAGAGAGAGAGAGAGAGAGAGAGAGAGAGAGAGAGTTAGAAGCACTTGCTGCTCTTGCAGAAGACCCAAGCTCAGTACCCTGCTCTCCTGTGGTAAGCTTACAACTGTAACTCCACACAGAGGGATCTAATTCTGACTTCTGTCCTCTATGGGTACCAGTCAAATGTGGTACTCGTACATTTAATGCAGGCAAACCCTCATATGCACAGAATAAAGAAAAACCTTTAACAGTTGAGTTCTTTGGGCATAGTGTTATTGAACTATGGGCATTCTTCAGTCAGGCTATCAGTCCTGAGTACCACTTTTGATTCATTTAAGTCGATCTGCTGAAGCAGCACTGGCCTGGGATGGTCTTTCTTCCCACAAACTATGGCTGCATCTCAGAAACCCACTGGACTCTGCCTCTTGCCTCTCCTGAAAGACAAGTGACTTCAGGGTGTCTCTGCCTAACCATAAGGCACTTCCTTCTTCCCTCCAGGCTCACTGTATATTAAGCATCTTAGCAACTGCCAGAACAGCTGGTCTTCTAATAGACACTGAGCCAGGGGCTGAGAGCCAAGAACTGAAGAGCATTTCACTGCAGGGAAGGCTAGTCTGGCAGCAGTGTGCTACCCTGCTGCTCTGGAAGCTCAAGTCAGCTGCTCCCTCCAGGCCAGCCAGGACACACCCTCACTTAATATCTAACCCCCAGAAGGCAGTCTATCTTTAAGGATAGCTAGCATTTAGTAAATATTTTGGCCTTTTGATCTGCATAGACTAATGACTAGAACCTCTGGAGTTTACCACAAGCCAGAT